CGAGTTGTGGTATGGTGCTACGATTGGCGATACGCACTGACGATGCTGGCGAAACGTCTGGGAATGTACCACGTCCACGGTCCTACTGTGGAAATGATTATACATACAATGGAATCCGGACTAGGTGCGTTCCTCTAAGTCTTCCTACCAATTGAACAAGGTCAAGCAACTTCTATTTAGTCGAATGTTTGCGATCCTCTAGCCTCATACTTCTAATAATCATTTACTTCAAAATTCCAACCTTACTCTTGTAACTATGGTTGGAAAGAAAATTAAGTGAAAGATTGTCATCTTAGTAGGGTTTCTAGATATTTGTGTGGTATTAATATAATCGTAATGAAAGCCGATAAATATGGAGCTGTAGTAGTCATGAGTAAGTCAAGTTATGTAGAAAAAATGCTAGCTCATTTAAATGACAATGACACGTATAGGCCTTTACTGAGATATGCAACAGAAAGACTTAAGTCTAGGCTAAAGGAGGCCCTTAGCATGCGTAAGTAATGGTGATATGGATAAGTGGAAAACGAATAAACTACTCCAGAGAGATGCAATGGCCCCCACGTCTTACGGTCTTCGTAAGGTTTACAAGGGGAGTGACCCTTTAGGATTATTTGTAAATAATACAGGAAGCGTGATGCATAAAATCTCAAATTTTTTATGCATACAACTAGGGAATTGCTAGTTCAGCAGACAATTTCAGAAGAGGATAGGTTAGTAAGTTTTGATGTTGTGTCTATGTACACAAGCATATCTGTCCAGGGAACTATTCAAGCTCTGATACAAACTTGGGAGGAGCATCCAGGGATAGCACAAGGAATAAGGCTGAGTGTAGCTTCCATTATTATGCTTATTAACCTAGCCATGGATACCACATATTTTACCTTCGATGATAAGTTATACGACCAAACACAAGGACTAGCGATGGGTTCTCACATGGCCCCCGCCTTGGCGAACAATTATATGACAAGACTGGAGAAACACTTCCTGGAAGAGGCAATACTAACCTTCAAATTGTCGGTTAGATACATGGATGACTATTTTGTCATCTGGCCTAATCGTAAGGAAAGTTTAGATAGTTTCCTACTTTCACTCAACCAGTGTGAAATGAACAATAGGTTCACGATGGAAATGGAAGAGTATAAGTACTTACTTTTTCTGGATGTTCTCGTCATTAGAGAGGAGGGTAAGTTAGGAAGAGATGTTTATAGGAAGCCAACATATGCTGGCTCTTTGCTTAATTTTCTTTCCAACTAAGGTAGACTAAGGAAGGATTTTTGAAAACAATGATGAGGCTAGCGAATCGCAAATATTTTACCAAAGAGTTGGAACGGCTAACAAATTTTTTCGTGGAAAATAATTGTCCTTTTGACCTTATTGAGTATAATATCTCTGTTCTGAGGATTACATTTTTATTCGAATGTGAGTAGGGTTTCGAGACTACCAGTAAATCAGTGTAATGAGATGTATTCACCCTATTTC